CCCAGCCAGGGTGGGTGTCAGGGACACGGTGGAAAGGCCAATACTGGGCCCCAGGGGACAGCCCAGAGGCGCACCGATCCCCCCTGGTGCTCCCCTCTCCTGATTTGGGCCGGGATCGTAGCTGCAGCCGCAGCTCTAACCCCTTGCCATAAATGTACCGCTGCATCCCTGGCGAGGGTCAGCATTCCCGAGCCACACGCGCAGGGAAAAAACAGCGTGTGTGTGCCGGGATCCGCGCACAGGCAGAGCGAAGGAGGAGCGGCACAGCCACCCTGGTGCCATCGCATCCCCGCACTCTCGCATCCCTTCCCGACCTGAATCCCCCTGCGCTCGTCCTGCACGGCCAGAGCAGCAGTGGGACTTGGGAATGGCAAGTGCGAAACATGACTGCTCTGGCCTTCCCGGTTCCCTGCGTGTCCCAGCTCCTGGTCTGCCCTGTGAAGATACTGCATAACCTGTTCTGCTGCTCCATCTTTTCTATTTAAACTAAGTTCCTGGAACAGGACATCTCATGAGTGAGCTATGTACTAGGGTCCTGAGTTTGTTTGACATGAACAACAAAAGATTACATTAATAACTGTGCATCTTGGGCAAGGGTAAATTGACAGATTTGCTGTTTGCATTTTATATTCTTCAAACACAATGACAGTCCTTTATATTAAATAACCCTACCACCTGTTGAAACAGATGAGAAGTCTGCCATGTCTGTCTTCTTATATGCTGATACTTACTATAAAAGATGTTCAAAATAGGTTTTTTATCTTTATAAAGATATTTCCTTCTGATATTGCAGACCATAGAAAATCTTTCCCTTTAGCAGTGGTGTGACTCCTGTCCAGTTTGTGCAGCTTGCTTAATTTTCAGACAACTCCCTATTTTCACTGCTCAGAAGGGATCTTTTCCCCCTGCTATTAAAATATTTCAATGGTATTAGTCTGTTTTGTGGGCTTTTTTTCCCTCCCTTTTGAGGAAGACAGGGTGGTTTAATTTTTAGCATTTCCTCTATGAAATAATCATGATCCTTTACCACTGTTTTGTTGATCATCAGCTTCTTAACTCTAGCTCATAGAGATGACACACATATCAATCTCAGTTACAGGTGTTCTTTTCCGCTGATTTTTATAAAAACATTTTTTGAAGTGAGGTAGACTTCTGCACACGTTTGTTTTCCACTTCACTTCAAAGTATCTTCATCATCTTGCTTTTGAGGGGCCCATCTGATTCTGAAATCCTTTTCTATAGGATCTCAACCAGACCCAAAGAGGTCTCTTCAGCAGCATTCAGTAGCTGGGTCACCACCACCTCTCCTTTTCTTTCCTGCTAATGCGTTACACTATTTGTTTGGTTTGTGTTCCTCTTTCAATTTTCCTCATTATTTAATTAACATTCAAATTCCACTTTCCTGTGTTCTATTCTTCGTGAAGCACCACAACGTTTTGCTTTTTGTGTTTCTTACACCTAGTTGAAGTATGAGCACTTGGCTCTTTTTTTCTCAGCTTCAGGTTCTGCCTTCAAAAGGTTATCACACACAAGTTCTTGTCCTTTAACTTCCACAGACATTTCAAGCAATTGTAATCATTATTATTCCTGAGGAAAACAGAGATCTTGTTTTGGCATGGTCAGCAAGCTGTCCTGTTGGAATAAAGCAGGATTGCTGTTTTTAGACATCTGCTTTGAAGTCTCTTACGTTGCATGGATTCATAAGTTAGCTCCTAATTGGTGAATGCTTTTTTCCATGTAGTCAGTTATGGTAAGTTCAGCCTCAAAGTGTTGACACCACATCCTGGTGGATGGAATATTTCTTCTCTGGCCATATGTTGCCAGATGAGCCTATGCCTGCCACTCTGCTTGGGATTTCCAGTCCTTCTTCCTCACAGTCCATGAGGTTTGTTAATGAACTGGATCACTTCTGGCATGTACTAGTGTTTTATCCCTGCCAGCAAACTTTTGACAACTTTCCCCAGGAGCTCTCACATGCTCAAGGAATCAGCAGTGCTGCATGGCCACTTTTACAAATAGCCCATTTCCTTACCCAGTTGATTTCACTGGGCTGATTGTTATCTCTCTGGGCTTTTTCCAGGCTCAGGGCTCGGCAGTTGTACTAAGCTAGAGTGTGCTGACAGGGCAGGTCCCTTGATTTTTACTACATAAAAGTCAGCCTGTGTGATGTGCTTATAGGGTACTTACACTGCAAATGCACCAGGGCAAGGGCTACTTTTTTGTTCCAATTATGTGGAGATAATTTTGTCTGTCTTCCACTCTGGTGCTATACTGGTTTAGTCAAAGAGATCAGTAATATGTGTTATTATACTGGAATCAAAGTAAAGGCTTTGCTGTTTCACCAGCAATCATCTTGGTTGTACCTTAAATAAATAAGAAATGCATTTTCCAGAGTTGGAACTCTATTTCTAGAGCTACAAAGCCAAAATGTGTAGTTCAGAGCCATAAAAAGTTTGCATGATCTTTGAAACAAATATGAAGGACTATCTATCATCCTTCAAGAATATGCTGAAGCATCAAACATGAAAACAAGCACGGTAGATGATAAATGAGTTTATGATAAATGAACATGCCATGAAGAACAAAGCACTCAGAGGGGAAGACGAGGGTAACTCTGTTCAGCATTTCAATACCTATCTTCTAGACTTTGGCTCCTGTGTGCAAAGTCTTCAAGCTATTTTAGACATTTCTGGCCTCTCTTTACAGTACCTGAGAGACAAATTAGTACCAAGAAAAAGGGTTCCCAAGTGCCAACAAAGGGGCTGTGCAGACACCAGAGAGTGTCAGTAAAGGCTCTGTTGTTCCAGGGTTGTGTTGGCCATTTGTGCTACATAATTTTTCCCTGCGTCTGGTGCCTGAACGATTTCCTTGTAGTTAATGTCTGAATTACTTCCAAGGCTGAAGAGAGATCATTATTTTCTTTTAAAAAGATGTGGAAATGGAAGAAGCTTTTTTCATACAGCAACTCCATTGTAACAGACCATTCATCCATGACACAGAATCTGAGCCTTTCTCTGCCAGGGCACACATTTCTGACTTTCCCAACATAGCAAAAGCAAGGAATCACAGAGATTCAGGAGTTACTGCTACAAAGACAAGAAAAGTAAAGCCAGAGAGACAGTGGGTAATACTTGAGAACCAGAGAGTAGCACCAACTGAATGCTCTGAGGAAAGGACCACACCGAGTGAAAAAAATTTGTGGAGAAATTTCATTCCTTTCAGGTTTATTAGCCTAAAGTGTGAACTGGAACAGAATCTGGGATATTTAAAGTATCCATGCTGTTATAAATGCAACGGCAGATTAAAGATTAACAAAGATAAATTTATTATAAATTAATAAAGCAACGAACAGCGAGGAAAAACCACAATAAATGGACAGCGCAGCGCTGGGTGGACAGGGTCTATACGCAAGGTATAGGTGTTCCCAAGTCCACGTCTGAGGGTTCTTTGGCCTGGGTTTTTATAGGGATTTTATGTCCCCAGGCTAGAATTCCAACCAGTTCCCATTCACCAAGTGTCCCTGATTGTTGGGTGAATGGATTTCCTGGCCTAGAACATTGAGTCAGTAAGTGTCCGGGCAGAGTCTCCTCAAATGCAAAGTGAGTCTGTATGTATTTTAACATATTTCATCACAGCAGAATCGAGGGATCCGGGCTAGCGCCGATGGATATCTCGGAGGAGTAGTCTCTTCTTTGTCTTTCTTGATTGAGTTTCTGTAGTTTGGGTTTGGCGGGTGTGGTGTTCGATTCTGGCAACGACCATCTTCCTGAGGCTCGTCCCTTTTGTCTTGCTTGATGGTCTCCGGGCCAAAATCGGCCGGGCGTTGCCTTTGTCCGGAGGTAGACTTTCAGGCTGGTTCTTTTGTTTCTATGATGGCCTGTGTCCTGTCCTTTCCTCTGAGTTGATGAGCCTGCTGAGGTTTGTTATCTGGGGGGGTTCTTTTGCAATCCGTGACTTTGGAAAAGGAATTCTACCTCGACCTGGAGGAGAATTCCTTTTTCCATATTTTCATTAGTTATAATTACACATACTTTATTTAAACCTTTTCTTCCGAATTTTTATTTACCCAATTCTTTATTACAGTCCCCCACCTAATAATTTGACCATATTAAAAATTCGTGTTTACGTACTTTTTCAGAGGAATATCGGGTTAGATAATGTCGTTTTCCTCTTTGTCTGACTCTTCTACATTTTCTGGGGACAACATATGTTTGTTTTCAAATTCTCTCAATGCTTTAACCGCATTTCTACTCTCTTTCTCTTCTTCTAACTTCATGATTTTTGAAAGGAGGGTAGCGTTTCCTTGTGCCTTTTCTGGGTCTATTGGGAGAGAGGCAATCTGCATTCCTTGAACGACAGAATGTATCAGTCTGATCAGACAAGGAATTAGGCAGGGTAGGAAGATGACTCCGGCAATTGAACATCCTATAAAGAATACTAGCTTTTTCCACCATGCCCCTTGCCCAAAAATTTGATCCCACCAAGAAGCTTGTAAAATCGAATTCCATTTCTGGACGGGTACATGTGCTACTTTCTTTATTTCAGCAGCTAGA